CGGTATCCTGTGTCTGGCCTCCTGTTTCTGCCGCTTAGTTTCATTACCTTACATTTACTCGGGTTAAACTTTAGTAGCCAGTAGCCACTTGGGTCAAACTTTAGTAGCTCTGTACCTCAAGGTACAGTCCTTGCACCACTGCTGTACCTTATTCTCATATCAGATATAGACAAAAACACAAGTCACAGCTTCGTGTCATCCTTTGCAGATGATACAAAAATCAGCATGAAAATTACCTCTGCTGAAGACATTGACAAACTACAAACAGATATTAACAAAGTTTTCGATTGGGCAGCAGAAAATAACATGATGTTTAACGTTGATATATTCCAGGTACTCAGATACGGCAAAAATGAGCATCTTAAACATAATACAGGGTACAAAACACAATCGAATCTGCCCATAGAAGGAAAACAGCATGTCAAGGATTTGGGAATAATGATGTCCGACGACCTAACGTTTACGGAGCATAACCAAGCAAGTATTGCGTCAGCCAGAAAAATTATAGGATGGATTACAAGAACCTTCAAGTCCAGAAATCCCATCACAATGGTTGTACTCTTCAAATCACTTGTGTTGTCCCGTCTTGAGTACTGCTCAGTACTCACTTTCCCTCCAGAGCAGGAGAGATTGCTGAAATTGAGGGAATACAGAGAACATATACGGCACACATAGCACCTAAATTATTGGAATCGCCTCAAAGCTCTCCAAATGTAATCACTAGAAAGGAGACGGGAGAGATACCAAATAATATACACATGGAAAATACTGGAGGGACAGGTCCCAAATCTGCACAGTAAAATAACAACATACTGGAGTGAACGACATGGAAGAAAATGCAGAATAGAACCAGTGAAGAGCAGAGGTGCCATGGGCACAATCAGAGAACACTGTATGAGCATCAGAGGTCCACGGTTGTTCAACGTCCTACCAGCGAGCATCAGAAATATTACAGGAACAACCATGGACATCTTCAAGAGGAAACTAGATTGTTTCCTTCAAGGAGTGCCGGACCAACCGGGCTGTGGTGGGTATGTGGGCCTGCGGACCGCTCCAAGCAACAGTATGGTGGACCAAACTCTCACAAGTCAAGTCTGGCCCCGGGCCGGGCTTGGGAGTAGAAGAACTCCCAGAACCCCATCAACCAGGTATCAACCAGCCATTTGTTGGACCATTCATTCAATTTGTCTAGATCATCTTGTAGCCTCATACTATCTTCCTGTCTTAATCCTCCTCATAATTATTGTATCATCAGCAAACAATGAGAGGAACAATTCTATACCCGCTGGAAGATCATTTACATATATCAGAAACAGTATAGGTCCAGGGACTGAATCCCTGTGGGACTCCACTGATGACGCCTCGCCAATCTGAGACCTCACCCCTCACAGTGACTCGCTGTGTTCTGCTGCTTAGGTACTCCCTTATCCAATGGAGTACCTTCCCTTTCAATCCTGCTTGCATCTCCAGCTTTTGCACTGATTCTCTCTTACAGTTGTCGAGTGTGATGTTTGACCTACACATGCCATGCAGACAAGATCTAAAACTTGGCTCAACCCATCCTAGATGACCAACTGCTCTCCATGTGTAATTGTTGTATACAGTGGCACCTCGACTTCTGATAATTTTGAGTTAAGATATAAATTTGATCGAAAATTGCTACTCGACTGACGATAGTGTCGTCGACTAATGATATTCGTTGATACACATTCGGATCGAACGAGCGCATGGTTCCCGGTCACGCAAGCCTACCTGCCTCAGTTTACTAGAGCCGCCCGCTTAGTGACGATCACACTTATAAAAAATTCCATTTTTTGTGGTGATTTTTTTGCTTTTTGAACATAAAACTGATTATTATATATCACACCATGGGTCCCAAGAAAGTCACTGGTAAGGTTCAACATATGAAAACACATGTAAGAATGACCATAAACGAAAAACGAGAAATCATTTGTAAACATGAAAATGGTACTCGTGTTGTTAAACTAGCTACGCAGTACATTAAATCTTCAGGGGAGGAGGTGGTGGTTGCATTAGAGGATGTCCTTTCCTCATCTTGAGGTTATCTTGAGATGATTTCGGGGCTTTGTGTCCCCGCGGCCCGGTCCTCGACCAGGCCTCCACCCCCAGGAAGCAGCCGTGACAGCTGACTAACACCCAGGTACCTATTTTACTGCTAGGTAACAGGGGCATAGGGTGAAAGAAACTCTGCCCATTGTTTCTCGCCGGCACCCGGGATTGAACCCGGGACCACAGGATCACAAGTCCAGTGTGCTGTCCACTCGGCCGACCGGCTCCCGTTTAATTTAGAAAATGTGTGCAGTATGGAAAACTGCAAAGTTTTGCTGAAAAGAATCACCCAGGTAAAGCTGTAACAGGTTATTGCATTGATCTTTTTAATGACAATGTGATGCCTCACTACAGACAAGTGTTGCAAAGAAGGGAAAAACAATCTTCAATGGAACGATTTCTAGTGACAAAATCAAGCAGGTCCTAGTGGTATGCAGGCAAAATGTGCCAGTGTGTGTACCCCAGAGAAGTCCTCACTGCTGGATGTTATAATGGAAGGGGACTTCCCCTTCCAAACAGTAACACCTCTCCTCCTCCCCCCTCCTTACCATCTTCCATACACCATCAAGATATATTACCAAATACAGCCGAAAAAGCGGCATACAGTACTTCCATACATCAAGGGCGCGAGGGTAGATCGCAGGCTGGCTAGCCTTAATGACACTGCAGACAACCTGAGAAATACGAGCCCCGGAAGAGGGAACTAGGGAAACCATATCAACCCAAAGTCGGGTCAACTCAGAAGCCTTGGCAGGAAAGAAAGGCTAAACCATCTCCATGCCTGCATCGGAAGGGGCAGCCCCCGAAGCCACCCCGAGCCTCATCCTTAGCTAAACCCTACCCAGACTCTGAAACCCTCAGATGTTTGAGACCTAGAAGCAGGGGAAAAGGAGCAGGGCGAACCATGCCCACCTGGAAAGGAAAAGGCTTGGATGGAACCAAGGCTGAAGTGACCAACACCCCCAAATCAGAGTCCCTAAAACCCAAATGGGGCAACTCTGGAGTTTCCAACTGGGCAACCAACCTGGCCCGTTGCAATAAGAAGTGATCATGCATGGTGGAGACACTGCCTGATCCATATTAGGCTAAGCCTAATAGGGAGTTTGACAGACCTCCTCTGCCACCACAGGTGAAAACCCAGAATAAAAGCAAAAGCAAGCCCCAAAATCACACAACTGGCAAACTAGCAGCCAGAGAGAAACACTGGCCGATGTGTGCTAGTAATTCAGGCTGTCCAGCCACAGTGCGCCCCACCAGCAAATAAGCACGCCCCCAACCCAAGGCAAGACAGACAGCCCAAGACCCCCAGCCGACCCCAAGGGCGAGGACAACCCCCAGGAAAGGAAGCCCTCTAATGGGGAGTTAGTTCCGAATGCCCCAGGAAAGATAACCCTGAAATGCAAAGGCAGTAATTACGGAGCACCTAGGGAACGTGTCCGTAGGCACGTCCAGCTCCTAGTACATGTAATACACCTGGCCAAAGAACACCACAAGTGTAGGAACAACCCCACAAGGCAAAAATCCAGAACAGGAAACCGAGGCCAAAGGTGACGTCTGACCGCCAGCACATCAGTTGAAGAACTAGTGGTGGGGGGTTACCGGCTCACTCAGGCCGCTAATGAGCGGGGCGCTAGTTGGATGGCGTGTTGCTTGTTGTTTTTTTTCTAGAAAGTTCTTTTGCTATTTTGAGGACATAGCTTGTATATCATAACCAGACAGTTGTCTGTTTTGATTCGCCCACTTTCTGGGGCCTCCCAAGGTCGATGGCAAGTATGTGATATACTTTAAACGTAAAGTGTTCATAGTCCATTGTGCCCTGCACCTCTCTGAGGGAGGCCAGGTTCTGACTCATGGTCCCCGGTATACTTTAGGCCTCTGTGACTGATGACCCCATCTAATATAGCACTATATTATTTTGGATAGTCTAGGGAGCCAACAGGCACCCCCCCCCCACAGAAAATTTTTGCTTGTTTGTGGTAGTTGGTTGGAACACGTGAAGCGAGAAGGTGGCAGATGCCACCTTCAGTAATTTCAAAGCATCATGTGACTAAGAGTGCTAGGAAGACGGGACACTACAAGCATTACTCTCATTCTGAAATTACACTTAGGTAATTACAACCATTCCTTCATGCAGTTCTCTGACTGCATTCATTCCTACCTTGTTTTTTGTAAAAAAAAAAAAAAAAAGTCTTCTTTACAAATCACACCAGCCACATTCCTTCTTTCATTCACTCTCATCTCAACTTCAATTGATAAAATGGAATTTATGCACACATTAAATGTATTAAATACAACTTACAAAGAATATAAAATAACAATAGCTTTCTTCTGGCAAAACTTAAAAAGACTACCACAGAGAAATAAAAATAAAATGATATTAGTTATTATAAGCAAAGATAAACCACCAATCAAGAACATGCTTACTGATAAAGCTACAAGCACTTGAAATAAACACAAAATCTAACTTCTGCTCTATTTCAATCCTTCTTTAAGAATAGATTTTTTTTTTTTAGGAAAGCATGCAGCAAAGTGTAGCACAAGTAGTGTAGTAACCACAAGGCTACCCAGATACCATAAATTTAAACAAATCATCAATCACTATAACAATACCAATCCTAAATTTTGTGTTTAAGTTTTGAAGGTACAGTATATATAAACCATACACTCCATTCTAAGTTATGGGGAGCGATGATCAAGTAACTCTAAAAATAAACAATACACACATGCACCAGCAGCCTATATCTGGATTTGTGCACACTTTTATTGCCTTAAATATTAGAAAAATATACTATTTACAAAAATTGTATTTATATACGTATATGAAAAATGGAAGTACACACACACACACATTGATGCACATACAACTAAACAATAAAAAATAAAACAAATCTATTCAGATTGTTAGAAAACAAGATTAGTAAGGTTCAAACCTCAGTTCCGTTGACTGTGCTGTGGTTCACTTCAGTCGTAGATGTCTCAACTACTTGAACGGATGACGACTCTAGAGAAGGTGATGTCTAGCTTAATATTCACATTTGTCACTATTTCTTAACTAATGGAAAGCTTTAGGCCTAATAAAGCTATTCTTTAAAAAAATTGAGAATAACTACAGTATTTTATTGCAATACTATAAAAAAACTCAAATTATTAATTTGCTGAATTGAACAAAACACAGTATACAAATATTAAATGGTTGGCCTAATCAGTTTAAGACAAAACTGTACAAATTTATTATAATGTAGTATAATTACAAAAATTACTTTTGTCTTCCATAATGCTTCCCAAGATTATTGGAAAGAATTATGATATTTGATCTTGCCTCAACCGCTTTTAAAACTATTTACTTTACTACCAAAGTTTATTTAAATATACTTTGAGTCATTTCATTTACTTGTACTGTATTATAAGCTAATAAAGCAGCCTGTCCTCATAAACAAAGGCCAAAACCCATTCCATGCAACAGCCAAACCCCATTTATATATGAAAAACGGTTTACAAACGACTCAACTGATGATGTCCGAACACTTCCGGAACAAGTGCTTCACCGACGAAATTTGTTTGAATCACAACGCTGTAAATGCTACACCCACGTACTACAAATACAAATAATCACCAACAGAACCTAAACATCTAGCCTAACCAATGCTGAAATATGCACAGTATGCTAATATAACATTAATTTATATTTGAGAAATTTTTTATTTTGAATGAACAGTATTGTAAAATTGATGAATGTGTCTTTGAGGTCGACCGCTGGATGGGATGGACTTGGTCTGAGGACGGGTTGAATAAAGAAGTGTTATTCATTCATTCCGCATCTCGCATTTCATAAATTAGTGTTATCTTACATTATTAAAATATATCAATAATGTACATTTTTTATTCCTTCTGTACATTAAGGAGTAGTGTTTCACAGAATTGCATCACTGACAAACATTGTAGACCCCTTTAGTTTCCTTTGTTATGCTGAAGCACCTTAGAAGATTATTTCTATTGTGTAAAAACTAGCGTTGAATGTAATGAAACGCCATTTTCTGGGTGAGCCCCGGAGGCTTCCTACAGCTATCTGGCTAATGTGTGATATATTAGACCGGGGCATTAGTCTAAGGAGTTCGACCCACCAGGGACCATGAGCCAGAACCTCGCCCCCTCAGAGAGGTTGCAGGGAGCAATGTCACTGGAAAACCCCCATGGTTGGGGTTTTTCCTTATCTGCCATCGACCAGGGTTAGGCACCCAGAGAGGTAGTCATAACAAAAACCCCACATAGTAAGAAAATTACAACTAAAAACTGAAAAAGAGAGGTAGAACTCCCTCCAATCAAAAGGAAACAAGCAAACGTCACTCCACTGCCGCGCTGCTCGTCCACGCAGCTACCCAGCACTCCAGTTCAGAAGCCAAGCATCAAACAACAAAAAAAACTACCAACAGGAGGGAGGGAAGGTTGCCAGGGAGCCTCTGGGGCTCACCCAGAAAATAGCGTTTCATTACATTCAATGCTGGTTTTCTGTGGGGGAATCCCTTCGGCTTCCTGGAGCTACATAACCAAAGATATGGAAAAGGGCATGGAGAAACTATAGAAATAACAGGACACCTAGACAAACTGAACGAATGGTCCAACAAATGGCTACTAAAGTTCAACCCGAGTAAAGTAATGAAACTAGGCTTTAGAAACAGGAGGCCAGACATAGGATGCCATATGGCAGATGAAGTCTTCCAAGAAACGGACAGAGAGAAAGACCTAGGAGTGGATACCACACCAAACCTGTCTCCTGAAGCCCACATCAAAAAATTAACATCTGCGGCGTATGCAAGGCTGGTTAACATCAGAACTGCCTTCAGGAACCTGTGTAAGGAATCATTCAGAACCTTGTATTTTGAGGTTATCTTGAGATGATTTGGGGCTTAGTGTCCCCGCGGTCCGGTTCTCGACCAGGCCTCCTTTTTGTTACACCCCCCCCCTCCAGGACAGCTGCCCATAGCAGCTGTCTAACTCCCAGGTACCTATTTACTGCTAGGTAACAGGGGCATCAGGGTGAAAGAAACTTTTTGCCCATTTGTCTCCACCTCCACCGGGAAGGTGGAGATACCACATTGTATACCACATATATAAGACCAATCCTGGAGTATGCGGCCCCCAGCATGGAGCCCATTAAAAGATTCAGAGGTATGCCATTAGGCTAGTCCCAGAACTGAGAGGCATGAGTTATGAGGAAAGGCTGTGTGAAAATGCACCTCACGACGCAAGAAGACAGAAGAATAGGGGGAGACATGATCACTACCTACAAAATTCTCAGAGGAATTGACAACGTAGACAAGGATAGACTGTTTAACACAGGTGGTGCACAAACAAGGGGACACAGGTGGAAACTGAGTACCCAAATGAGCTATATGGACGTTAGAGAGAACTTTTTCAGTGTCAGAGTAGTTAGTAAATGGAATGCACTAGGAAGTGATGTAGTGGAGGCTGACTCCATACACAGTTTCAAATTTAGATATGAGAGAGCTCGAGAAACTTGGGGATCTGTACACCCGTAGATTGACGGTTGAGAGGCGGGACCAAAGAGCCAAAGCTCAACCCAATGCAAGCACAACTAGGTGAGTACATTAGCTAACGAACTGGAGTTATGGGTAACCAATGCGGGGAGGGAAGGGCTGTGTGGACGAGCGGCGTGACAGTGGGGTGTAACTTTTGCTTGTTTCCTTGGGATTGGAGGGAGTTTTACCTCTCTTTTTGGTTTTTAGTTGACATTTTCTTATCATGTGGGGTTTGTTTTGTTATGCTTACCTTTCTGGGTGCCTAACCCCAGTCAATGGCAGATAAGGAAAACCCTCAACCACAGGGAGGTTTTCCAGGGCCATTGCTCCCTGCAGCCTCTCTGAGGGGGCCAGGTTCTGGCTGGTGGTCCTCGGTAGGTAGAACTCCTTCGACTAGCATAGGATATGTTCATTATGAAAGCAAAATGTTTAAATTTTTAGGTCTTGTTGCAAGCACACTTATATAATATAACCATACACCCTGGTGTAGGAATAAATACTAAATATTAAAGAAAAATATTTCCAGGTGAATAATCCTTTCAGTAGAAATAAAATGTAATGTTTTGAGTGAAGCTCAGAAGAGGAAGAGAGAGCTGCAGAAGAGAAGGAGAAAGTAGGAAAACTTCTAAAGTTATCATCGTGGCTCAACACAGGTGCAACAACAGCCATTCATACCATTCCTTCATACATAGCAACCACATTAGCATCCACTCCGGCAACATCAGCCACTAGTACTGTTCCTTCAGATATAACATCCACATCTATGTCCACTCCTGCTACCAATCATCCAGTTTCAGCAGACATACTATCACTGCCTGTTGCTGCTGCTGGTGACATTTTATAAGAGAAAATACCAAATCTATAACATTAAAGAAGTTTCCAATACAAGAGAGATCCGGGGCTATGGAACATTAATGATACTAACACAATAGATTACGGATTCGTAGAGGACCCTCATTATGTCAAAATCATGATAGCAACCTTTCAAACTCACACAGAGTGTATAAAACAACTGGAGTAGAGAATATGAAGGCAATGTATTTATCAAAAAATGTGTTCACGCGTGAACTGCAGAATGACGAGTACATACCAAGGTTGTTTTGTACCCGCTTTGCATGTCGCCTATTGCCCAAGAAAGAATCTCCCTTTGCTACATTGGGATTCAATGACTAGAAGCACAACAATGTTATTGTAGAATATGAAAATGGAGAACAACATAGAACGTGAGGGGCTATTCAGTAAATTCAATTTTAATAATAAAAGGATAGACTGGGAGATAATAAACAGGGAACTTACAAACATTCCATGGGAAACTGTTCTAAGTAATACAAGTCCTACAGAAGGAATAGAAAAACTGACTTCGGAAGCGTATCAAGTCTGTCTGAAACATATTCCTTCGAGGAAAGCCAGAAAGAGATCCAACGAAGAAAGAGAACGTAGACGACACTATAAACAAAGAAAAAAAATAACGGAAATGCTTATGCAGACACGAATTTCCCGTCAAAGAAGGAATAATTTAAACAGGGAGATTGAAGAAATTGAGCGGAAATTGAAACACTCATATTAAACTGAAGAAAGGCAGTTAGAACAGAAAGCAATTCAGGAAATAAAGAAAAATCTGAAATACTTCTTCACATGCGAAATCAAAAGCAAAAACCACTGCCAGTATTGGACCTATTCGTACAAGTGAAGGTTCATACACGGAGGATGACAAAGAAATTAGTGAAATCCTAAAAAAGCAGTATGAGGACATGTTTAGCACTCCAATAAACAACATGAAAGTGGAAGATCCAGACAATTTCTTTATGCGGGTTATTCAAACCCCTGTAAATATAACTGATTTCAACACGAGCGCACTAGACTTTGAAAGAGAAATTGAAAACATGCTCATGCACTTGGCCCCAGGTCCAGATTCATGGAATTCAATATTTATAAAGAAATGCAAAATGCCAGTAGCACAGGCACTCAGTATAGTGTGGAGGAAGAACTTGGACACGGGGGAGATACCAGATGCCCTTAAAGGAGCAGACATAGCCCCTCTACACAAGGGAGGGAGCAAAGCATTGGCAAAGAATTATAGACCAGTTGCACTAACATCACACATAATAAAAGTATTTGAGAGAGTGATTAGGAGTCAGGTCACCAATTTCATGGAGACCAATGACCTTCACAACCCAGGCCAACATGGATTTCGAGCGGGAAGATCGTGCCTCTCGCAGCTACTTGATCACTTTGACAAAGTCACCGAGGCATTAAAAGAAAAACAGAATGCTGATGTGATATACACTGACTTCGCAAAGGCTTTCGATAAATGTGACCATGGCGTGATAGCACACAAAATGAAGTCAATGGGAATAACCGGTAAAGTAGGACGCTGGATACTCAGTTTTCTGTCAAACAGGACTCAGCAAGTAATGGTCAACCATATAAAATCTAGTCCGAGCGCAGTTAAAAGCTCTGTACC